TGGGGAGAAGGTTAAAAAACAGTAAACAAGAGCCATCTCCCATGCAAAATTTGTGACCCTTGCATATCTAGATCATATCAAAATGGCAAGTTTTGCTGCAGTACTAAGGAAAGCCACCGGGGGCCCAAAATCGAATCAATTCTACCCACCTACCAAGTTTCATCACAATCCATCCATTGCTTCTTGAGTTATGCTGTTCACAGACAGACATACCAACAAACGGACAAATACTACTGAAAACATAACCCTCTTGGCCAAGGTAAAAAGCACTGTTTACCACTGAGTGGGTCCTGCGACTTCTTGGGTTTGGGCATGTCAGCGAAGTCCCTGGACTGGTGCGGCCAGGAGTTGGAGAGGCTTGCTCGCTGGTTCCTGGCCTCGTCCCGCGGCTGGTCCACGAACGACGGGACGTAGTGGTGGCCGAGCGGGCTCTCGTTCCGAACCCCCGTCCCCGCGGGCGGGTCCTCCGCGTCACGCTGCTCACGGCGCTTCTTCGGAGACGACATACTGCTGACAGGGATCACACCGGCTGGGGACACACAAACAAACAAACAAACAAACATAAATATCATACTGCTGACGGGGATCACACCGGCTGTACAGGACACAGAGATCAGGCTTAGGAAAACTTTTTTCACAAACAAACAAACAAACAAACAAACACACATACACACACACACATACATCATAGTGCTGTTGGTGATGACACCAGCTGTGGGGACACAGCGAGTTTCTTATACAAGATGGATGAATTATCTAACATTAAAGTAGCTTTCCAACATTATCATACAATAATCATTTTTAAAGTCAACTGCAAACCCTTCAACGGGCAACTTGAACACCCTTTGCCACGCTGAGGAACCTTTTTCTGACTGAGAAGCTCCAGCCTGTATTTGAATATGAAAAGGAAGCCTCCAAAAGACAGGCAGCCTCCTCATTATGATCACTTAATAACACCACAGTCTTTAACCCCTGGGGGCTTATTTCCCTAGACAGTTTCATACTACCAGGGCAACAACCCACAGATACAAAACGGGACCCTACCAGACCCAGGCTCACTGAGATACTTTGTGTCCAGTGTGCTATGGGTTTGGCACCCAGGCTAACAGATACAAGAAACAATCACCTAACACAGCATTCCGTAAATATAGACAACAGGAAAGAATTCGAAATTAACTTTTCAGCCCAGAATTCCATTTTGTTTTGATAGGGAAAATCTACTAACAGCAGTTTGTGATTTTATAGCATGCCTTTCATGATCATCAATACACATTTACATGAAATGAATGATGTAAGAAAATTTTAAACCTGGCATTATTTCACCACATTTTTCTATAAGGCCACACCAAGTAAATTTTATGGATGACGTCCGCGCGCGCATTGATTTTGGCATGTTCCTAGAAAAAAAAACAAGAAATTCCACTTCCTGTAACTATGACCAAAGAGTCACGACAGTGCCGCAAGTAGGTTTGTACGGACCAAAGCTTATGAAGCATCAAGCAAGGACATCATGACTTCCATTGGGAATTCAGTTTGGTACATGCTGCCACATTTGAAGAAACTTGCTGACCGCTCCATCTATCTCCCCAAAGCACAAGACGACAACTGCTGTTCCATCTGATTTATTGCTGTTTTGATGATGAATAAAAGACTAGTAAGCTTCTTGCTTGTTACACTGTGTCACCTCATTCAATTTGTGTCCTAACATTTGTCGTCTCTTAGTATATTTCTAATCTAGGCATCTTGTTTTTTAGGGCCCTTCTTGTTTTTTTTTCGCCCTCTCGCATTAGATTTAGGGTCTCCAAAGGACGTCATCCATAAAATTTACTTGGTGTGGCCTAACCACGTTTTATCCAGGAATATGGGAAATGGATGTACATACAAAATCTTTAAACTGCCCAAAAGTCACTGTCAATCCTCCACCAGCCTGAGGGATCACTTTAACCCTCCCTTCGAATTCTCTGCTGCTAAACTAGCCTCCACCAGGCTTCGGGAGGCGGCTGCAGAGGAGAGTAGAAATTGGCCAATTAGAGATAACATGCCAGTGTCAGCTAGAACTTCGTAGAAGAGCACAGGGTGAGGCAAACTGTACTCTCTACGCTGAACAACTACCCTGGCATGTTATCTGTCTATTTGGCTAATTTCTACTCTTCTTTCCAGCCGCCTCCCGAAGCCTGGTGGAGGCTAGTTAATCCTCACCTGAGTGCACCACCATCGCACACCCCATGGCAACACCTCCTCCTGCACACTACAGTTATAATGTACACGGCAGCGGCTGACAGCTACAGAGACAGAGCCGAGGAGAGCCTGACTCAAACACCAGCCTGAAGTCTGCCCAGCTCAACAGGCGTTAACAACACACACTCAACTCAAGGGGAAACTCACCAACCAGGGCAAACCAACCGCACGGATTAGGGGGGTGTTTTTCACGCTGCTAACTCGGGAGTAAATGTCAAAAACGTTTCGTAACAGGATGAAGACTACACGATGTTGGACCTTTCAGCGTGTTTGATTGGTAGTGCCAGTGCTAGTCTAAGAGTTGTTAGCTTTTGGTTTAACTTTTCGCTGCACAATTTTGTAACACCCCCGCTAAATGATGAAATGGTACATGCTGATGCCACTATTCATAGAGCAATCAGTGCTGAGCTGGGACTTACATGTCATACTGAGCACAACATAAACAGCTGGATAATAACTTGATTGCTGATTGTGTATTGACTGGAAGTCCTGTATATTTAACACCTCTGGAAATGCAAGTTGACTGATACCCCTTAGGCCACACCAATTTAATTTCTTGGTTAACGGATTTTTCTAGAAAAATAATGGAGCGGGCGGGTGAAAAAAAATAAAATAAAAACAGGCCTTGGCATCCTATTATGGCCCAAAATGGTACGATAGGAGCCATGAAGTCAACACACCAGGCTGGGTCAAAATTTAAACAATGAATTTTGAACTTTTAATGATATCATTGAATTGAAAGATGGAATAACTGTAACAACTAGGATGAAAAGGACTGTTTTCAACTGTTCAGGGCAAAATATGAGCATTTTACAGTTGATTTTGAATTTTTATTTTTATTTACAAATCAGAAAAAAATGAAGCGGGCGAATCCGTTAACCAAGAAATTAAATTGGTGTGGCCTTAGTAAGTACTTTTAAAGAGGGCTCAAACACATGACAAGGTCTGGGGAAAACAAAATTAGGGAGGGATTATCTTTTTTTTTTTACTTCTCTAGTAGTGGTCCAACTTATATTTTCCAAGTCAATGTTGGAAAACCAAATGTACAATGTTCCTTCACTCAGGTGTCAGATCATGGAGCTAGAAAAGGTTGATCAGCTCGAAAAATTTATGTCCCTTGCAGGGGTCCACCCAAAAAAAATCGCTAAGGTCGGGTCAGTCAGGAAACACAACATTTTTTCCCCAGGCCCAACTAAAAATCATCAGAACTATCCACACAAACCCATCATGACAGTTGGTTGAAGAAGAGATACACTGTAGATAACGAGTGGTCCAAACTCCAAGGACGTCCTACCTAACCGTAAACACTACTCTTAGCTCTCAGTTTTGCTGTATGCCAAACCGCCTGCGAATCACTGTCAATCCTCAGTCATTAGTGCTGAATACTACTGGAACAGAATTACATGGCAGACATTCTAACTGCCAACCTTCCATTTCGTACGCGGCTGCGGCTCACAGATACGAAGAGAGGAGGACAATACAGCCGTTTAGCCAGTCTGCATTCCAGTCTGAACTCATGTCATTATGACATATCATGCTTATGACAGGCAGACAATAACAGTCTAATAACTGGCTGCTTCTTGACATATTTTGCATCAACATGTTGTTGACTACACGTCTTTTCAAATGGCAACTCACGTACACATCATGTTTGTCATAGTCAGCATTTCATTCAGGGTGCTTTCAAATAAGAAGCTCCTTGTTACAATACTGAGCTCATTTGTTGATTGCTTTGCTTTGTTATGCATAACCCCGTCCCGTCTTTGCTGTTTTTTTCATCCTTCTTACATCAAATAACTTCCTTCCTAGTGAAGATCTAAGCTGATCAAGCAAAACTGTCTCATCAAGACTCCTTGGATTACAGCCTAGTTCATACCCGTCGTAGGAAATGACCCAGTAGTAATACTATCAACTATCTTGAGAAAATCCTCTTACTTCAGCTGCAGACAGGATTTCTCACACAGGGCTCGAAATTAACGGTGTCCCGATGGCCACTGACCACTAATATTTTGGTCGGGAAACCTATAAAGACACTTTGGAATATTTTGGAGACAATAGAAAAATAATCAACATCAGAATGTCAGCCCTTCTTTTGTTCATCAGGCACACGTCCCGGCTTTTGGCTCCAGAAAAGTCCCCTCAAATTTCCTGTCTACTCTATTTCTACTCAATGCAATTACAGTGCGCCTGGGAGTCAGAGTCATAGCACCACATGTACAAGGAACATCCGAGATCTTAGACTCTTGAGCACGAATTACCAATTTTCCAATCCTAGATAAACAAAGATGAGAAACTTGTACCACAGAAACAGTAGAAACACCAAGAGGGTCCCACAGAACCTCCCTGGTCTCCCCCAGCACCTATCATCCACGGCACTGCTGCACATCTCCCTGCCAACATGACAATGGCCCGGGCTGTAGGACCTATAGACCAAAGCCCTGCCCGTATGGCCATCATGGCACAGCCTGCACATACTTACACTGATCCTCATAAGCCAACTTGTCATGTTGCATAAAAGCCTTCTTTATGGATGCGATTTGATCCCGGAAATTACTTCATTCTGAACTGCTTCACATCCCTGCTTACCTAATTAAGTCTGTGTCTGGGATCTAATATGAACCCTCACGATTCTGCCCCGACACATTAAAGAAAGGGTGAATTGGAAGTGATCTGCTGACACAGCATCAGTAATCCCTGATATGTGCACACTTCAGACACAGGTGTTCATGACAGGCTTCACAAGGCCTTCATAACACCGCTTATTTAAAATGTGGGCCAGTCTTAGGTACCCAGCAGATTATAGGAGTAATACATGTAATTGAAGTTGATGTTATGTAAGAAAAATTTGCACCTTAACCCTTTTTTTTATATGACCAGGTGTATGAACATCCAGACAACATGTCCTCTAAAATTATGAACAAACAAACAAACCTTTGTCTGTTGGCGTGGCGACGGCGGCGGTCTGTGCGGAGTCCTGCTCCAGCGGCACCACACGACCCCGGGGATGAGAGCCGGACAGCGTGGCCGCACGAGCGTTGTACTCCAGCTTCTTCAGGTACTCCTTCTTGTAGGAGCCCGACGGCTGGGAGCCTGCAGAGAACAGCAAGGAGATGGCTTAAACAAACAAACAAACAAACAAACAAACAGCGTTGTACTCCAGCTTCTTCAGGTACTCCTTCTTGTAGGAGCCCAATGACTGGGAGCCTGCGGAGGACAGCAGGGAGATGGCTTAAACAAACAAACAAACAAACAAACAAACAAACAGACAAACAAACAAACAGCAGGAGACAGCAGGGGTGAGCTTATCAGCCCGAACACAACAGGCTGGCAAAGAAGTGTCAGGTAGATGGATAAGCATATTACAAATTGACATTAAACTTATGGCAAAACAAGTCTTATAAATATAATAACTTATAAGTTATAAGGTTTGAAGAAAAATAACTTAATTTCGCACTGTAATTTGTCTAGAGCTGTGGGGTATCTATTTATCCTAGAACCATATCAGACCTAAGAGTCTGTAAAACCCTTTAATTCACCGGTCTCTGTATGTGCATGACCTATAATTCACCAGTCTTGGTTATACATGTCCATGTGGCTTTCTCATGAGGCATTTGTCTGATCCTGTCTCCTTCCTTGCCTCTCTCCCTGATCCTCTCTTTCCCACTTAATTCATTTCAGGAGAAAAAGTCTACAGAAACTATAATTCTGGACAACTATGAAGGGGAACTGGCACCTACAAATGGAGCTCACTGATTTCACAAATTTTACATGCTTCTAGACTACTATAATTACACCTAACAATAAATCTGAAGTTTATGTCTTACACCTGTACCATTGCTGTAGAACACATCATGCTGTTTCCCATACATACTTGCCTGGCAGCTGAAGTCTAGTCCTCATGACTTTTTTCATGTCTGCATGTAATAAATACTTCTTTCCCAGCAGGACCAACAGTGACAGAAACGACACATTTCTCTCACACAGATTCTGCTGCGTGGAATTTAGCATATTCCCTCACGTTTGGGTGTGTACGTATTTAGATACCATCTCTAAATGTCAAAAGGCAACTGCCAATCAACAGGCACGCAGCCGACACAAGCAATCGTCTGGATACACTTTTGTTATAAACCTCATATTCTGACTCTGCAGCACCAAACACAGACACGTTCCGGTGATGAAAACTTAGCAAATCACAGGACCTTGCATGAAACAAGATGATTCAAGATCTTGAAATATTATTAGCAGACAAAATGTTTCAAGTAAAACACAGCAAACTCCGAGCTTGAAACATCACATTAAACAGGCGCCTTCCCCACTAATGCAATACGAAGTACTTAGGAAATTGATGCATAATGCTTCCGCTAACTACTAGTACTAGTTACTATTTTTCTTTGGGCAGATTTCTCAGAAGAATTATACCTGTAGCTCCTTCACCACAAAAAACATGCATCATATTCCATCAGACTGTTGCCATCAAAGGGTCAGAAAACTGTCTGGCACAGAAGGACATTCACACCAGTCCTGCACTTTTGCAGGTGTGTTTCTCTCACCTGAGTTATGTGTGTAGGTGTGTGTTTCTCTCACCTGAGTTATGTGTGTAGGTGTGTGTTTCTCTCACCTGAGTTATGTGTGTAGGTGTGTGTTTCTCTCACCTGAGTTATGTGTGTAGGTGTGTGTTTCTCTCACCTGAGTTATGTGTGTAGGTGTGTGTTTCTCTCACCTGAGTTATGTGTGTAGGTGTGTGTTTCTCTCAACTGAGTTATGTGTGTAGGTGTGTGTTTCTCTCGCCTGAGTTATGTGTGTAGGTGTGTGTTTCTCTCACCTGAGTTATGTGTGTAGGTGTGTGTTTCTCTCACCTGAGTTATGTGTGTAGGTGTGTGTTTCTCTCACCTGAGTTATGTGTGTAGGTGTGTGTTTCTCTCAACTGAGATATGTCAGCGCTCTCCTTAAGCTCCTGCTCTCCCCAAAATCCTAGCACCCCTCCCAAAATTTTCAACATCATGGTTTTTTCTTAGTATTTCCATGAAAATTCACAGACTTTTCATCTACCGATTTGAGTGAGCACCTCTCCCCTAAGAATTTCTGTATGTGTACAAACACGTGTTTTTCTCACCTGAGTTGGGCGAGTCGTCCCTCCCGTTGTAACCTTTGCCCCGGCGCCGCCCGCGTTTGCCTGACACGTCGGAACCTTCGTCCTCGCCGAAGCCCCAGGTGTTCTTGGGTTTGATCGGCGGCTGCATCTCCTGCTTCGGACGGGGAACCTGCACAGACGGACAGACAGACATTAGACATCAATAAACCTGCACAGACGGACAGACGGACATTAATAAACCTGCACAGACGGACAGACAGACATTAATAAACCTGCACAGACGGACAGACAGACATTAGACATCAATAAACCTGCACAGACGGACAGAAAGACATTAATAAACCTGCACAGACGGACAGACATTAATAAACCTGCACAGACGGACAGACATTAATAAACCTGCACAGACGGACAGACGGACATTAAACCTCAATAAACCTGCACAGACGGACAGACAGACATCAATAAACCTGCACAGACGGACAGACATTAAACCTCAATAAACCTGCACAGACGGACCGATGAATAACATTAGACATCAATAAACCTGCACAGACGGACAGACAATGTTAGACATGAATAAACCTGCACGGAAGGACGGACGGACAGGAGCAATGTTAGACATCAATAAGCTGTGTAAGTTGGCATCTTCTAGTGGATAATATTTTAACACAGATATTCAACAACTGAAAGTAACTCTCCAACATGTTTTTGCCATCTCTGGAAGCATCCCAGAAGGCTACCTTTCATCTGGCAAGCCCCCTGAGATACAGTCATCAATATAGATATAAAACTCCCTGGATAAAAAGTCTATACCAGCAGTCTGAAATAACAACTGTGATCTCTGCTGAAAGAGTTATACCTGATGATTTATCAAACAGTAAACTGTTGATCTGACAGTCTACCTTGCATTCCCAGAGCTTGAGTATGAGGCCTTGAGAGAACCTTGCATGCAGCTTAGCCTTGTTTCCTTTTGTGCTTCATCAGAGTATGATAATGTAACTTGTAAGTAAGGACATGCAGTGACAACAAAGGGCCCGGTTGTAAGTATTACATTACTTACATTACAGTAATATATAATTCTCCATCTTCCTCCCAGTCCATACCTAACATGTATTTATATATATAAATGCTAAACTGAAAATGATAGCTGCAATCTGAGGCCAGTAAAAATACCCTCCTGTGTTGAGCTTGAGCACAAAGTCCGTGATGTAGAGTAAAAACCCCGCCGGGATTTCCATGTATGTATAATTATGTAACCATGTCCCAGTTGGACTGGTGTTGGGTACTGTTAATCACTTTATATTTGCGGTACTTTTATATTCGCGTTTTTTTCAGTCACTTCTGAAATTCAAATTTATCATTACCACAAATAATTTGCTTGTGAACAAGGTTGATGGTCAGTCAACCGAACATTTGGGGTAAGTCCCATTTCTGTAGTCTGTGTTGGAAGTTAAAGCTTTGTATTTATTTCATAATGACTTGTACCAACACAGATGAACTTTCATGCTAAAATAATTTGCTGACTTTCTTTCTTCTGTACTTGCCACCACCTTGACTTTTGAGGTTCCACGAACATTGTCCATTTTTCGCAGACCGCGAACCGCAAATTTGAAGACGTGATTCACATCGTTCCTGCTGGACACAACCGAGAGGAAAAGTTTCCTACCATCTCATTTAACAACATGAAACCCAGGCTGGTATTATCCTGGAAAGGGGCAATCTGGCAAGACGACTTTCCTCACAGAAACTAAGACTTAACCTGGACACCTTAATGGGAGAACTTCCTTCCCTGCTGTGGCTATTACATCTCAAGGTCACATAATTACATCTCAAGGTCACATAAAATCAACCTGTAAAAGCAGAACAGGGCTCATCAATAATGTTGTCACGAGATTACATGTAACATGCACATCACAGATCAGTCCTTAAAAGCCCGGGAAAACTTAAGCAACTCATACAAGTAGACTATAGCAGATGTAACATAAACTGTTCAACATTACTCACATGTAGTTTAATCTGCGATACTGTAGAAATGGTGAATGATCGTCTTATTGTTTTCAAGGTTAAAAAACAGTAATTACAATGATTCCTTAAAAGATATAGGTTTATCTATCCTATACAGTCACTGCCACATTTTGCACGCCTGGGTGTGGCTGGGTGCACCCGTAGTGGCATGTAGATTAGCACCTTGTGATGACTGTTTCTTGACAATGATTGCATCAGTTTCTCTCAACATGCACTTCACTTGATTCATAAGGACTTTTGATTGTCTACTTGGAGGCTGCCAAACACAAATTTAAGTCGTCAGGTAAGCAGACAGGACAGGGGCAGGCAGTGTAGTTCCTGCCAGACAGCTTATTTTTTTTTTAGTAACATGGGATAACGAGGTAGGATTAAAGCAATTCTGGGCCTGAAGGCTGATGTCATGGGGGAGAGGAGAATGATATTTACAATCATTGTACTCTTTGTTCATATTATTTATTATCTCTATGTTTAATTACTTGATTGCTATTTTGTCCCACACTGTACTCAATGTGATTTATGTCTATGTCCTTTGTAACTGTTTTGTTGGGCTACATTTGTACCTTGGAAATCAGTTGTCCTAAACTGAAGGTACTACCCAACTGTTTCTAAGATCAATAAATAAATATATCATTATGCCAAATTTCACCAGAAATATCTGTGTACTAAATTAATATCTATTGAATCTGTAGAAAGAAAGCCTGACTACATGATAGTTTGGTAATGGTGGATACTGAGTATCAACCAGGCTTGAAAAGAATAGATCTACAAATATCTGCATAATCAGTTTCATTACACTAAAAAGTGCAGAAATAAGACTATAGTATGGGAAAACCTTCATGTATAAGTCTGCCTCCCTTCTAACTACCACCAGAATACATCTGCCTTGCTATGAAATCCCCAACAGGGACAGGTTTGTTGTTGTTTTATTTGACTTTGACTGACAAGATTCCTGTCTCCCACCTGTTAACTGCAGTACCAGTATGGCACACCAGGGGGCACTTCCACCTGTAGTACCAGAGTAAAACCAACAGTGCTGCCCTGTGCCCCACCTTTAGCAGGTATATTGACACGGTGAGAAGTGTTTGTTCCTGGGCCATGGTTAGCTGCACTTGCCTTGACGTTCATACAGACCAGCCAAACGGCCATGACTAGTGCTGTGTACCGGTTCGCTGGACCGGTTCCGGACTTGTAAAAATGTTTTGGTTCAAGTCCAAAAAAAAGACCTATAAGTCAAGAAAATATGTCATATACCCCATTTCTTTCCATTTAACCACCTAAAACCTTCCATAGATTGCAAAATCTGTGCTGCAATATGAAGAAAACATTGCTATCGAGCATCGTCAAGTACCGCCTCCATGTTATGTGGCCACAGTTTTGATCATACAACATGGCAAGGTTGCCAACATGCTATTTTGTATACGCCATGGGTTTAGGTCCGGACTTACGAGTCTAAACCTCTGGACTTGAATCCGGACCTGAACCTAAATGTGGGTTTAGGTACACAGCACTATCCGTGATGCATAATCAACTCCATGGTTCCCAAAATATCCCAAACTGCAGCCGGGAAAATGGTTGTAATGAGCCATTCAGAAGCTACATTTTGAATTATTGTCTTCTATCTCAATGTTGTCTAATTTGCTGATTTTCAAAAGCTATGCTGAGTTGTTTTTGCATATTTACAACAGTTATATACAACAGTTGGAACACTAGTTTCTACCGTTAAGACTTGGATAGCAACAATTTCTCTTTCACACAGAGCTAATGAAGGTAACAATGATTAATCACTCATTCAGCCTTCATGAATTATGGAGTGTCTCTATGAGCTTTCTTGGAAATATTGTGTACAGCTGCCTTCTTTCTTCACAACAGTCAACAGTGTAAGAACTGAATCAGAAAGGAAGACAAACGGGTGATACTACAACCCTCTAAGGGACCTTTTTGTTTCATTTTCTACATAATACATATAACCTCCCTCCATATTCAATGATAAAATAAATAGCCTCTCCATATTTCTTTTGTATACTCTGCACATTACTCAACAAATAACTTCACCAACGACTTAACCAAGCCAGTAAACAGCATGGAGAAGCCTTCTGTAACAAATTTCTGACTGCTACCATAAAATATTCCACAGGCTGAAGTCGTCACCAACTACAACTGTGTCACTTTCCACAACCACAGTATTTCCTTCAGGCAGCCCCAAACAACTATTATTAATTTCACAACAGTCAACTATCACTAAGGAGAGACAGATCACACAAAGGCCTGTCGACATGTATCCAGCCAAGATGTCTGAGCCACAGTACACGCCACCTCAGCTCAATCAATAGTGGCTTTTGTGAAGTCGCTACAACATCGCCACACAAGCACGCACAAGAACCCACAAACTCGCTACAACAAGTCATGTGGGCACATAAGATGGCAGTGATAAATGTCCGTATGGCATGCCCCAAATTTCAAACTTGTAGACCGAGACACAAGCCGGACAAACTACAGACATTTGCCTGTCTTTAGTTAAAGGAAATGACAAGGCACCACCACAGTGACAATGTCTTAAGTTTGAAGTAGAAAGAAGCCTTTGAAAAAATATCAACTCGAAACATTTTTTGCTTGACTACTACAGTACCAGAAAGCTTTCAAGATGTGTGAAGAAGTGATGTGAACAGGTAGAGGGAGTCTGTGCAACTGAGTACAATAAACTAGACGACTGTAGCAGTTCTGCAGTTAGACTGCACGTCAAGTCATTGGCTGTGCTGATAACAGTCAGGGCTCCAAATTCATTTTGGGAATAGGTGCGCTGAAGCACCCAATCTAAAAAATTGGGTCTAATAAACTTGAGTGCACCCAACCTAAAAAATTGGGTGCACTGCTAGAGTGTACTGCTAGAGTGTAACATGAATTTTGGGGAATAAGACACACAGACTTCATAATTCCAATGACTTCATACTTCAGGACTTTTAAACAGATCATTAGGAGCAGGACTTCTCAGGACTTTTATACAGAACATTAGGTGCAGGACTTGACACTGTTGATGTTGTAATTGGAAATAGTTTATGTACTGTGTTTTTGTTGTGTGTAATTTTATGTGTATCCAGGATTACCTGAAAAGCAGGCCAAAATGGCCTGAGTTGTAATTACTGG